AGGAAGGCCCTCAGGGCCAGATTTGACCTGAGGCTTAGTTCACTACAAGACTGTTTGAACCGAAGGATGGATAGTGAGGGAGCGAGCAGCATGTCTCTTTAAGAAATATGGGAGGGAGGCCCCTTGACGTGACATGGGCTGTCTCTCCTTCCTGTTTTTCGGTTCTCAAAAGGGCGTACGCTTGTTCTTTAGCATAGCATTTTTCACACAAAGCTTTTAATTAAAAAAAAAAATCAGCAAAACAAGTTCTCAGCTTATTTTTGCAGAGAAAAACAACTTTTTACACAAAGGCACGAGTTTCAACCATGAATTATGGAGCTTCAACAAGGCAGAGGTTTTTTCCTCCCCAAGGTTGGTTTGTTAGCTTAGCTCGTAGCTTAGCTTCTCAGTTTAACTTCTTTTAATGATCCAAAAAATACAATTTTGGACGGTTAAAATGGATTTTAAAGAGAAAAGGAGGGGTCAGTGAAGAGCACTGGAGTTGAGCCTTTTGTCATCCAGTGTCTTCAGTAGAAAGAGAGAGACACGGAGAATCGATAAAGCCGATAAATGAAAATGAGGTTGATAATTTTCATTTATCGTGCGATTAATTGATTTATTGATTCGTAACAGGTCTACTCAGAGTTTGTGTTCTGGACGATCTTAGATTAAAACTCTGTCATAAAAGGTGGCAGGGGATATGCATTCCTTTAAGGGAAGTCTTTATTAGACATACCTGCAAACTCACATGGGGTGAAAAAGGTGATAAGCCTAGCGCCTGTCGTCCCCCCATCCCCCCAGAAGATTTTGTGATTTTTAACGTTAAGCATTCTGGTACACTACAAGAAGAAAATTAGGGGAAAGGCCAACCTGCTTCAGGTAAAATAAAAAACACATTTACTAACATATGCTAATTTAATTAGGACATGCATACATAGGAAAGATGGCATCAACCAAAAAATAAAATAAACAAGCAACAACAGCAAGCCAACCAGAGAGCATTTTGCTAATAGTAAAAACTCATTTCCTAAATATGTAGCGCTAAGCTAGCGGCTGGCAATAGATGCGCTAGCTAAGATGCTACAGATGTAGCATTCCGCTTCTGTAACGCATCCTAACCCCCCACCCCCCAGTCAACAACTTCTGGCATTTTTGTAGCGCTAAGCTAGCGCTTCGCAAGTGCGCTATGAACTAAGTAACTTGTATACAAGTTATTAGCTAGCACAAGCTTTGTTGGGAGCACAGGTTGCGAGCTAGCTAGTGCAACTTACGTAGCACTCTTAGCGCTACGTAAATCCAATCAATGGGAAATTATACCATCTACTATGCTTCTGACTCCGCCCCCACTTCGTAAAAACCTCTTTGGATCTAGATGATTCACGTAAATTACATACTTTTGATTGAAATTAGCGATTTTTGCCCAAAAGTGACAAGTTTGCAGGTATGGTTTGAAAACTGCTTAAAAATAAAGTGTGTAAAGTAGCAGGTGCTGTTTTTTAAAAGGTGTACCGAGCTCGTCTGAAGACCCGATGATCCCGAGATTGTCCTGCAGCCAACGGACCACAGCTCCTGCGATGGCCACTGATCCCTGGGAACAAGTAGCAGAAGCGATCAGCTGATCAGTGCCGCTACAATGTGTTTGTAATATGTTTGTGTTGCTTTATCGGAAACTGTACCTCCAGAGCGTAACAGGCAGGTTTGTCTCGACCGAGCTTGTAGGCCACAGTGGTCAACAGACCGTGATCAGACATCACAGGCTGTGAAATAGTACACACAACAAAACCATCACTATAAGCAAATGTGTGCACGTTACTTTAAAACAAGCTGAATAAAGTACTGCACCTTAGAGCCGGTGTTTCGCAAGAGGAAGCAGCCGGTGCCGTACCTGAAACACATAAATCTGAGGTTTTACTGGGTTTCTAATGAAGCAGTGTTCATACATTTACAGAATTTTTTTTTTTTTAAATGGCCAAGAGATCCTCATTTTATGGTAGAGTTTATAAATTAACATTATCTTTTGTTGAGAAGTTATGGAGCTACAGCTGGTTTTATGCAGCCAACGGTCGGGTAGCTGTGGCGACCATCTTAAATTAAATTGACTCCAGATGTTCAGTTCATGTGTTCATATGAGGATTAATTTTTAGGAATTCATTAAAACTCATCCAATAGTTTATGAGATTTTTATTTTTGTTGCTAATAGACAAATATGGGAACATGGACAGGCAACAAAAATAAATCAAAGTGCTGCGGGTCCAGCAGGATGGTTGGATACGACCCACCACTCTCTGAGCCGCTCCGGTCAATCAAGAATTCACCGAGACCTACGCGGTCCATATGCAAATTGGTTCATTCCATTAGAACCCCACTCTCTGGCTCTTTTCCCATCTCTGGCTCAGGTTCTGGCCTGTCATGGCGGCCATCTCCATGATCCTCCATCTGCCTGCACAGACTGAACTCTATGGAACAGTTGAATTCTACAGGGAACATTGAATGTTCTGTGTCTGATGGACCCGTTTCTGGAGGGTCGTCATTGTCTATTGTCATGGTAGTTATTATCATCACGCTGTTAACAGGACCACACTGGTAGCAGGACCACGCTGCTAGCAGAACCACACTACTAACAGGACCACACTGTTAACAGGACCACACTGGTAGCAGGACCACATTGCTAAGAGGACCACACAGGTTTCAACCATGATCAAACGTCGCTAACAAGACCACACTGCTAGCAGGACCACACTGTTAACAGGACCACGCTGCCAACATGACCACACTGCTAGTGGGACCATGATGCTATCAGGACCACGCTGCTAACAGGACCACACTGCAAACAGTACCATACTGCTAACAGGACCACACCCCTAACAGGACCACGCCGCTAACAGGACCACACTACTAGCAGGACCACACTGCTAACAGGACCACAATGCTAACAGGACCACACTGCTAATAAGACCAAACTGCTAACAGGACCACGCCGCTAACAGGACCACACTACTAGCAGGACCACACCGCTAACAGGACCACAATGCTAACAGGACCACACTGCTAATAAGACCAAACTGCTAACAGGACCACACTGCTAACAGGACCACGCCGCTAGCAGGACCACACCGCTAACAGGACCACAATGCTAATAGGACCAAACTGCTAACAGGACCACACTGCTAACAGAACCACACTGCTAACAGAGCCACACTGCTAACAGGACCACACTGTTAACAGGACCACACTGGTAGCAGGACCACATTGCAAACAGGACTACGCTGCTAAGAGGACCACACAGGTTTCAACCATGATCAAACATCGCTAACAGGACCACACTGCTAGCAAGACTACACTGTTAACAGGACTACACTGCTAACATGACCACACTGCTAGTATGACCACGCTGCTAACAGGACCACACTGCAAACAGTACCATACTGCTAACAGGACCACTGTACTGTCTGTTCTAAGTGTGTTGTCTATCTGGAACAGATCTCTCTTGAAAATGAGTCCTCTTGACTCAGTGAGACTACCTGTCTAAACAAAGGTAAAAAAAAAAAAGGACAAACACAAAAGAACATGCAATATCATCATCGCTCGCCTTTCGACAGAAGGTGATAATCAAATAAAAAGCTGCCTACGTGTTTTTAGCTTGTCCGTCTTGAAAACACATCTGCCCAACAAGCGCTGCCGACTGATCTCCGAGGCACTGGTTCAAAATAAAATGGCCACTTATTATTTATTATATAGATGTGCAAGGTCAACATAAATAACAAAAAAATGATAAAAAAATTAGACTTACCCCTGAAATGGGAATACCCGACAAAGCTCCAGATTTCTGTTGTTAAAAAATATAATAATTCACAATTCAAAGAGCAGCCTTATTTTTTCTCTAAAATGATACACTTCTAATTGTAAACAGTGTTTGACTGCTACATTGTTTTAATCAAACATTGACAAAATTAGGCTAAAAACAGGTAACATAATACCTCTAATGTGAAATTTTGTTTAATGCTACTTATTTGTTGCATTAATATCAAAGCATCTGCAGTAGTTGGACAATAATCAATACAAAAAACACATTTCTAACTACAACCAGCAATAACTATTCATTATTTGACTATATGAAGCCAAATAACACAAAATACTTAACTTCTAGCTGCAGATTCCTTTATTACAAAAAGCATACAATGTCAACACAGTGAGGGGAAACGAAGAGTGTGAACTCGTCAACTAAAATATCTTCACTCCTGCGTGCAGCTTTAGTTAGATGTTAAGGGAGAAAACACGAGTAATGAGTTAAGAAGTTTTGGCCAAAAGAGTGAAGAAATTTAGGCGTTGTGTTGGCTGGGAGGCTGAGAGGAATCAACAATAACCAGCCGAGCAGCATGCCAGCACATGTGCAAACAAAGGGACAGCCCACCATCCAGTACATTTCCAACAAAGCATGCTCTGTATGCAAAACAAAGGTTGCAGTCTATTTTCTTTTACTTGTTAAGAACATGTAATAATATGTCTGTTCAGACGTCCAGCAGAATTATAGCATTCATTTTTTAAATGTACACTTGACTGGAATCTGCCAATTTTCAGCTTGATGATTTGGACTTTTGACATGAAAAAATAGGAACAAACTCTCGGGGATTGTCAGGATGTGCAGCAAAACTGCTGGCATAGCCCTACAGAACCTCACTGACCTATACAAGGCAAGGTCAGTGAACAAGGCCAGGTTTATTCTGGCAGATCCTGATCACCACTCCATGGTGAGTTCAAGTTGCTTCCATCTGGACGCAGGTATCTGCAGCCCAGATATAGGACGAACAGACTGGAAAAACTCATTCATCCCTGTAGAGATCATGGTTCTCAACTAACAGTGATGATTTCATGTATTTTTATTTTAATGTCTGAATGTCATGTCTAGTATGGATGTTTTGTGTGAAACAAATTGTCCTTTGGAGATAACAAAGATTCTTGAACTTGTAGCTATGCAGCTTATTAGCAATAGCATGTCTTTTCATGTCTAACATGTCTTTCATGTCTTTTTCCTGGCAGCTGCATTTCTAACATCCTTCTACCCATATGCCCACTGTTCCTCCTCTGGACATGTCCAAACCATCTCAGTCTGGCCTCTCGAACTTTATCTCCCAGTTGTTCAACCTGTGCTGTACCTCTGATGATCTCATTCTTAATCTTATCCAACCATGTCACTCCTAAGGAGAACCTCAACATCTTCATTGCTGCCACTTCCAATTTAGTATTAAATGAATGCCATAGAATAGCTAGCATAACATTTTCCGGCGTATAAGTCGCTCCGGAGTATAAGTCACTCCGGAGTACAAGTCACTCCTGAGTACAAGTCACTCCGGAGTACAAGTCACTCCGGAGTACAAGTCACTCTGGAGTATAAGTCACTCGGGAGTACAAGTCACTCTGGAGTACAAGTCACTCTGGAGTACAAGTCACTCTGGAGTATAAGTCACTCCGGAGTACAAGTCACTCCGGAGTATAAGTCACTCCGGAGTATAAGTCACTCCGGAGTACAAGTCACTCTGGAGTATAAGTCACTCTGGAGTACAAGTCACTCCGGAGTACAAGTCACTCCGGAGTATAAGTCACTCTGGAGTATAAATCACTACGGAGTACAAGTCACTCCGGAGTACAAGTCACTTGGGAGTATAAGTCACTCCAGAGTACAAGTCACTCTGGAGTATAAGTCACTCCAGAGTACAAGTCACTCCAGAGTAGCAGCTGAAAATGGTAATGTTTACTCTGGTTCATGTCAGTATGAATGAACATTTAAAGAGTCAGTCAAAAATTGCGTTATGAATATGAAGAAAAAAAACGTATACAAGTCGTTTCGGCGTATAAGTCGCAGGACTGGCAAATCTATGCAAAAAAACTGCAACTTATATGCCGGAAAATACGGTAATTAGTAACATGTTTTTTACTGGAAATTCACATATAAATTAAATATAGTTTCGTAGTTGCTTCTGAACACAGTTATGTTATGATTTCTTCAACTATCATTTACAGGTATTTTCACTTCGGGGCTCAGCATTTCATGAAAGCAAAATTCCCAGAGTTTTCCCTGAATAATTTTTTCAATTTCAGATTTCAGTTACACAAAATGCTAAGAACTTCACGTGTTTGGCGGCATGTGATGGATTTACTGTGATTTAACGTTTAGCCTACAGTATGTGCATATGCCAATCATTCCTAATAACTACTTTATTGTATAACGTCAGAAACTATAAAGCCACTGTACTCGATCAGTAATACATGTACTGTGTACACTGTAGAAGCAGAACATGGATTCAGTGAGTACTAACATTAGCATGTACCGGTAAATTAAAGTTTCATTGACATGAAAATCTCTTAAAAATCATCTTTTAATCAGCAGATCATTGTTCAAATTCAATGATTCCCTGAGTTTTCCTTGTTGTGGAAATTGTGAACGTCAATTTCTAGGTTTTCCCTGATTTCCAGAGTCACTGGGAATCCTGTAAAGTAGCAGCACTGAGTTACAGGGATCTCTTGTAAATGAGTCCTTGAGGTTCAATGAGACTAACCTGTATAAATAACGGTTGAATGAATGATTTAAAAATTAAAAAAAACTTTTGACGTTTGAAAATTGATTCAGAATCTTCCGTGATCATAATGTGATGTGTTAATTTTACCTCCCACCACTAATAATTATGCTGTTTATCAGAGGGAGAACAAGACTTTAGGTAGCTAAAAACTTAAATTTGATTTTAATCTATTTTTTTGGCAGTATACCCTGATTATACTTCCATATTTTTGATTACTGTAGTAAAAAAAAAAAGACAATAGGGGGATTTTTTTTTGGCTGATAAAAGAGAGGTAGTATATGTTGGCTTTTATTAAAGACACTGTACAAGAACTTTTGCCTAATGTCCTGATTTTTAAATGAGAGCAACAAACTCAATTTTGGGACAGTTTGATCCAATTTTCAACTTAAACAGAAATTATTTGATTTTTAAATGCTTTTAATTTTATAATAGCGAGAAACCAGAATCATCAAGTGAGACCTTAAACATTGAAATAAAAATAAATCGTGGAAATCGGCCTAGAAAAATGTACAAAAATGCAGTTTGTCTTAGGAGTCAAGTTGTTTTCAAAACCTGATCCATGTGCTCTGATTTTCAGAAAATGACCTGAATAAGTAAAATCATCAACTTTGATCTGAAGCTTGGAAATGCACTTTGGGATGGTTTACTCATTTGGGCCAAGGGGAAGCAGAACGCCGGGTTACTCGGCATGACGATGAGTAAAAACAGCGATGGTGAACGTCACTTACCCGGCTAGAACATATTTTCTACCAGTGAGAAAAGAGAGACAATGGCACACAAAAATGCCTAAAAGGAATTTCTCAGTCAACTTTCATGCAATTTAAACACACCAGCCAAAAGTCTTTTTAGTTCAAAAACAACAACGTAACAATTAAAAAACAAAATTAAGTTAGTTATTTTTTAGGGATGCACGATATTATCGGCATGGTATCGGTATCGGCTGATATTAGCGTTAAAGTTAAATATCGGACATCGACCATTCCATCAAAATAACTCGCCGATATAAAAGACGCTGTTTTTGTATGACGACACAGTGACAAGGACGCCTGAAGCGCCAGCACAACGTGATGACGTCACGCACGCCTACCTGATCTCACGGCGGAGGAAAATTCAAAATGTTAGCGGTGTGGAAGTCTTTTTTTTTTCCGTTGGTGCGGATGTCGGATTCAGAAGATTTTTGGACTACGTTGAGCCTTGCTACATCGTCTCCAGTCGGAGATATTTTTCCGACGTAAACTTAACCGAGTTACAAGCCGTCATTTCCGACGTCATTGAGAAGCTAATAGCCGATAGCACTTGGGTGAGTTTTACCACAGACGTTTGGACGTCGTGTTAGCGCCGTTAGCATGATTAGTCTTACGGCACAATGGATAGACAAAACCTTTGAACTTAAAAAGGCTGTCCTTCATGCACAGGAGTGCAGAGGATCCCACACTGCAGCTATAGGAACCTGGAACAAGCCTCGAGAAGCCTCCATTTTTTGTAGCAAATAAGCCTAAATAAGAGAGCTATGTTCTGACAAAGGAAAGTATATAACAAATACTGGTATCGGTTATCGGCCAAATAAGTTTTTATATATCGGCCAAAAATCCAATATCGTGCATCCCTATTATTTTTATTAGTGGCTGATTCAAGAAACATATCACTCTTTAAACAACAAACTAAAATAAATGTATTCACACCATTTAAACAATCATTTTGATTAGTGCGTCCAGACATAAACTTATTTATTAAAACTTACCATGAGGCCGTATATTTCTGATGAACTCCTCACTCTGGGCAAAATCTCCATGGGAATCCCAAAATATCTGGAAATTCAAGTAGAGAAACAGACAATCTGTCAATAAAGTGAATAAAATGCACATCACTCCAGCTCTAATCAGAAGTGGGGGCACTTACATATTTAGGAAGAAATGTTGGTTAATTTTTGTGTGTACTACCTTTTTTGACCTTATTTACCCATTCATACAGCACTCTACTGTATCTGTACAAAACATAATCAGTGCTTCATCACATTCATACACCGATGTATTGGTATTGGTATCGGAACATTTTTGAATGATACCCAGCCCTAGATGGGACCCACATCTGAGGCAACGAGGGGGTCAGTGTCTTGCCCAGGAACCCTTCAACATGTGACTGCTGGTGGAATTGAACCCTCAACTCTTGCAATGGAGGACGACTGCTCACTCAGCTACAGCTGCCCAAAGTATGTGCTACTTCCCGTCGGGGAATTGAACCCCGGTCTCCCGTGTGACAGGCGGTTATACTCGCTACTGTACTAACGAGAAGGTTTTTGAGAGGAGATGGTGGGGTCAATGAGGGTGAGGGTGGAGGCAGGTGTGGATGTTTCATCTTTTCCACTCCCATTTGTTTATTTATTTATTTATTTATTTTAATTTATGCTTTATTTATACAGGAAGTCTCGTTGAGTCATGAGGACTCGTTTTCAAAAGCGACCTGTTTTGGGAGCATATGGTGGGGGTTAAGGGCCTTGCTCAAGGGCCCAGGGTGGGGCAAATGAGGGTGGAAACAGGTGTGGATGTTTCACCTTTTCACCCACGTTTTGATGCTGTGGAACCGGCGACCAATTTGTTTTGTGGGAGGAAACCGGAGTACCCGGAGGAAACCCACAAGTGCAGAACACGAAAACTACGTCAAGAAAGTATCCTGATGCGTGTTCTATAATCCAGGTCGATAGATCTAACATGTCTAACAGGAAATGTTTTGTCTTTGTGGGGGCGGGGGATGTTTTTTTTTTCCTTTATTTGGGGGGGGGGGGGTGCAGATTACCCGGAGAATTCAAAAAAACTTTCAATACAAAAACATCTGGACTTTATTTGTAACAGAAGACGTTTCGCTCCTCATCCAAGGAGCTTTCTCAATTCAAAGAGCAGTGAGTGAGAGATTCAGGTTATAAGGCTGAGATAAGATACACGTACATATGTAGATGGACAATTCACACCTTAACTGTAGGGGTTTCTTAAGGTCTTTGTTAATCTAATTCACAGATGAGGCCCCTCTGTTCCCATCAGGTGTGAAAACTGGCTGGGAATCAGTCTTAACGTTGCATTATATGTTTTTGAAAGTGGAAATCTGAGGCCTCCGCCTCTGTTAAGAGACTTTTTTTTCTCTTTTTACATAAATTGCGTCCTTCACCCCCCTCTCAAACCATCTGTGTTCTTGGTCCAAAATGTGCACATTTTGGTCCTCAAAAGAGTGTCCCTTATCCGTGAGGTGGAGGTGAACAGCTGAATCTTGTCCAGAGGAGGTGGCTCTCCTGTGTTGAGCCATGCGTCTGTGAAGAGGCTGTTTAGTTTCTCCAATGTAGAGGTCTGGACTGTCCAGACCTCTACATTGGAGAAACTAAACAGCCTCTTCAATCAAAATATGGTTCTTTCAAAACGATGTGTCAATCTTCAATACTTGGTTGGGAATCCCTCTGCCTTAATTAGTGTTGTAGTGCTAAAGTTAACTTTTTCAATTAATTCGACATTTTTTAGCTAATTTCAGCTCCTTCCACTTCCTTCTGGTAATTTAAGCTTCTTTCTGCCTTTTCAGTTACTTTTCAGCTATTTTTGAAAGATTCCACTTTTTTTAGCTGATTTCCTAATTTTTCTGCTCATTTAAACCATCCATCCATTATCTTTTACCCGCTTCTTCCATTTTGGGTGACTGGGGTCGCCGGTGCCCATGTCCAGCCATCACTGTGCTAGGGGCGGGGCGTATTTAAACCTAATTTGGAAAATATATGTTTTTTCTTCTTTCTTCTGCTTATTTAGGCTTGTTCTTCAATTTCAGCTACACTTCAGCATGTTTCTAGCTAATTTCAGCTGTTTTTCAGCAAGTTCTTCAGCAAAAGCATTCACACTGCATTTTTGCAGGAAATGCAACTTCTCTAATTGGATTTGAAGCTGAATGAACTTATTTTGATTTATTTTGTTGTACAGTGCCTTGAGACAACTTTTGTTATGAATGGTAAATAAACTGAATTTAAAATCGCTTTCAAAATCCAAACCACCGTTTTAACAGTGCAGCTTTAGTTCTGCTGTGGATAATAGTATCCGTGATGTATCAGCAAACACCTGAAACACTAAAAGCAGAGTTCTCCTTGCATATAAAGAAGAAACAGGCGGGTAAGTTGGCACCATCTTTCATACTTGCAAAGCTCTGGGTCCCAGTCCATTGTGTGGATGTTAAACAGCATGGTTCTGCTGGCGTTGGTCACGTCAGTGCAGTGGACTCCACCTGACTTGCCTCCAGTCAAACACTGTTGTAAAGATATTTAAAAATACGCCCACAATTGTCATTCTTATGCATTTTACACGCCAACGGAGATCTTTTAAAACCACAGAGGAAGGAGATCTTCAGCTACCCAAATGAGCCAGGAGTCAACGGTGCCGAACATGGCGCGATGGGACACGACGGCTTCGTGGACCTCGCTGATGTTATCCATCAGCCAGCGAAGTTTCACCGCGCTGAAGTAAGTGCTGATCGGGAGCCCTGTTTTATGCTGCGGGGAGACAAATAGCAAAGTTACAAAAACAAACAAACAAATTGAGGCACACGAATAAAAGATAAGGTAATCACCTCACCCTTAAATGATTCTTATTCCTTCCTGGAGTTTTATTAATGAGCCGCTCCACGGTTGACTGAGTCCGTAGGTCCAGCCACACTGAAGGAAAACGCAACAAATCAAGTTCCAACAAAGTTACGTCAGCTCATCTGGACGGTTTTTCTTTTTGGTTGTTGTTGAGATGTTTCGTCCTTCATCCAAAGGACTTCATCAGTCCGCGGAGCCACAACAAACTCGGTCCCACAAGCAGCACAATCACATAGTGGGTCAACCAGTTTGCTGGTGATAAGATGGTTTATGGAGTCCGCCCTCTCCCCCGTCAACTTCTCTTAGGCAGCCATAGCCAAAGTGGACTGACGAAGTCCTTTGGATGAAGTACAAAACGTCTAAAAAAAAACAAAAAAACATCTAGATAACCTGATTGAACATTGTTGGATTTTCTACCTGGATTATTGAGCATGAACTTTGAAACAAATCAAGTTGTTTATATGTGAGATTAAAGTCTGGAACAATATTCTGAAACCAAATAAGAAGGTAAAATGTTGCAGATGGGGGTCGTAAATAAAACAAAAAGTAAACTTGAAGACTAATGTGAATGGTGTTCACATACTGGTCTGGTTTTAAACCATCATAGCACTGAGAGAGCACTTTTAAGAGTTTTTAATGATCTTTTATAAGTTGACTCTGGTAGCTCCGTTGTTTTCGTTCTGTTAGATTTAACTGCTGCCTTTGATCACAGCATCCTTTTATCAGACTTGAACCTATTGTTGGTCTTAAAGGCTCGGATTTAGCGTGGTTCTAGTCGTATTTAGCTGACAAGTCCTTTTCTGTTTCCACGGGGGAATACTCTTCTTTGTCACCTATTTATTGTGGTGTACCTCAAGGGTCTATTTTGGGTCCTATTTTGTTCTGCTGGTTGCTGTTTTTGGGATCAATATTTAGAAAGCACAACATTTATCCACTGCTATGCTGACGACATCCAAATATTTTTACCTTTTAATTTGATGTCTCTGCCCTATAGCAGCTTCTGTTTAACTGGCTTCCTTCTGGTAGTTTAAGCTTCTTTCTGCCTTTCAGCTACTTTTCAGCCATTTGTTTAGCTAATTTCAACTTTATTTAGCTACTTTCCTAATTTTAGTGCCAATTTCTGCTTATTTATACCTATTTCAGCAAACGTGTCTGCCTTCTTCTGCTAATTTAAGCTTGTTCTTCCATTTCAGCATGTTTTTTTTTAGCTAATTTCAGCTGTTTCTTAGCAAGTTCTTCTGCAATAAACATTTACACTGCGTTTTCACAGGAAATGCAATTTCTCTAGTTCAAGTTTGGTTTGAGTTCCATCTGAGCTTCTTAGGTTGTTATTTTCTTAATTTGTTCTTAGCCTATTTTATTATACTTGTGTTTTTAATTGTTGATCTTTCATTCATTTTATTGTTCATTTCCTGTTTTTGCAGCACATTGTTCAAAAAGCACAAACTGTAAGGACAGTGTTTCAGAATAGTACCGATGGCGTTGTAGAGCGGCTCCCCCGTCTCTTTGTCCCAAACAAGGGTGGTCTCCCTTTGGTTGGTCACTCCAATAGCTGCAAAACAAAAACAAAGCATAAACAAAGATTTAAAAAGAAACACAAACCTTTAATGAATTCACTTAAAATGAAAAGTAAAACAATGCTAAAATCTGCTAACATTTGGACCTTCTTGTACAAGAAGAAACTGCATCATAAAAAATAGGGTAGTTTTACTTGAGGGCAGCAACACATCTCAGACAAATGAAACAAAAAACAACAAAAAAGTCAGCGGTTTGAATAAAAAACACCCGGGAGGAGAATTTTTGCAACTAATTAGGTGAATTGGCAACAGCTTAGTAAGACCACAAGGTTTAAAAAGAGTGGAGAGGCTAAATCTCTTAGAAGTAAAGATGGGCAGTGGTTCTGCGGTCTGCAAAAAATGTCTTAAAATTAGTGAAACTATTTCAGATTAATGTTCCGCAGTGAAAAACGAGGATATCCCATTATCTACAATTCACATTACTGTAAAAAAATAAATAAATAAAGAATGCTCGTGACCTTCGAGCCCTCAGGGGCCACTGCATTAAAAACAGGTCTGACTGTGTTCTGGACATCACTGCAGGAACACTTCCACAAATCATTGTCTGTAAACACAGTTCACTGTATCACCCACAAATGCTGCTTAAAGCTCTATCGTGTAAAGAAGAAGCCGGGCGTGAACATGGTCTTATATAAAATGCACTGAGGCAAAGAGAAAAACTGTTCTGTGGTCAGAAGAATCCAATTTTGAAATTCTTTTTGGTAACAATGTCCTCTGTACTAAAGAGGAGAGCCATCCAGCCTGTTATAAGTGCAATTCTGCCTATATAATGGTATGGGGGTGCATTGGTGCCTTTTGTACGAGCAGCTTCCACATCTGGAAAGGCTTCATCAATACATGTTTTAGAACAATAAATTCCAGGGAATTATATCTGTTACAAATTAAAGTACCATATTTTTTGGCCTATAAGTCGCAGTTGGTTGCATAATTTGAATGCCCTGCGACTTATACGCCAAAGCGACATATTTATGAATTTTTTTCCCATATTTATAAACCAATTTCTGGATGAGATATGACCATTTTCATGCATTCTGACTGAAAATATTGAACACTACCATTTTCAGCCGCTGGATGGCACTCGAGTAGTATGGCAAGCTGTTGTATTATGTAAATCAGCTTCATTTCACTGCGCCGCCCAGGTGAAATGCAGCTAATTTGACCATTACAGTGCATTTATTAAGTCAAAGTTCAATTGACAAACACCATTACTATAAAGTCGAGCTAACAAATAATTGTTTTTAGGTGGTTGTTTTGTTAAATTTCAAAGAAATGGACCGAGTCGCCCTCTGCGCGTTCATGTTTCCGCGTATCGGCTTTTGAAATGCAGCTGATTTGAACGTCAAAGTGCATTTATTAAGGAAAAGTTAGACTGAGACACACATTTACTTTAATGTCGAGCAAACAAATAATTGTTTTTAAGTGTTAATCTTGTTAAATTCTTGTTAAAGTCCTCCCGTGCACGCTCCCGCGACCGCCATTTGGCAGCCAATCGATTTTTGGCACAACACCAGCCCACATTTCCAGGTTGTCAGCGGTGACGCATAATAGATAATAATAATGATAATAATAATAATGTCATCACTGTATGTTCCCATACAATGGCGAAATTAGTCTCTGCATTTAACCTATCCACCACCAGGTGGTGCAGTGGGCAGCTATTGAAAGCGCCTGGGGGGTATTTTGGGGATGAGGTGTGCTGCCCAGAGACACCACATGGTATGCAGTGACCGGGGATCGAACTTGGGACTTCCGGGTTCCAAGCCGGCTGCCCTGCCTCTGCACCATCTCGGCCCCCATATGAGACATATACAGCGAAGCGACGTATTTATGGATTTTGCCACTTTATTAGACATATTTGGACTGATGTGACCCATAGGGCAGTGCAACGTTTATGGCGCAAAATATGGTACTAATCAATTAGTTGTTTCACAAGCTGTTTTCCCCCAATTCTGAACCAAATTCAGGTAGTTTACAAGATGTGTTTTCTGTTTTTATTTACTTTTCATACAGCCTGACAAACACTTGAATTAGGTTTTTGCTAAAGCTATTAGGGGTGCACCGATTGCAGTTTTCTGGCCGATCACCGATTTCTAAAAAGTCTGATCTGTCGATTCAGATTTAGCCAATACCGATTTTGTTTTCTAAGCAACACTGTCAGGTGTTATAAGGTCACAATGCACCTTCAATATTTCAGTCTTGTTTTATTGAAAAACATACACTTGAACAATATCCTAGAAACAATACAAACTGGTTTTAACTGGACATGAGGTAGGGCTCTGAAATATAAATGAAGTTCAGACAATTGTTGTTAAAACTAAAATAAATAAATCGGAAAAATCGGTTTCTCATCTAAGTATCGGGCTATTTCCCAAAATTAAGAAAATCGGGGCCGATAAATCGGCAGCCCTAAAAGCTATACTATGACTAAATATCAATGTATACCAAAGGGATATGAAAAGGGGAGTGGTGGCACAGAGGTTAGATAAGGTGGGTCACAGGGTCAACTCCCCAGGCCGGCAACATCAAAATATAGGTGGGAAAGGTGAAAAACCTATCTCCACCTTCATTTGCCCCACTTTGGGCCCTTGAGCAAGGCACTTAACCCCCACCATCTGCTCCCCCGGGCGCCCTAGATAGCAGCTCTCTGCTCCACACAGAGGGCTGTGGTAGCTCAGTGGTCTGTGGTTGCGTCAGGAAGGACATCTGGCATAAAAAAAAAAACTATTGCCAAGTCTTTGTGTGAGCTAGTTCACTGTGGCGACTCCTGAGGAAGGGAGCAGCCAAAAGACAAAAAAAAAAGTTCTAGTGTTGTGAGTGAATACCTTTAATGTTTGAAATGTCGATGTTAAGCTGCGTTAGTTTTTCACACGTCCGCTCCATGCACTCGTACACCGACTGCAGAATCTCTTTGGGATCTTCCTCCACCCATCTGAAGACAAGGACACACAAAAAAAGACCAAGAATGAACTGAATCTTAATAAACTAGAGAAATTGCATTTCCTGCGAAAATGCAGTGTGAATGCTTATTGCAAAAGAACTTGCTGAAAAACAGCTGAAATTAGTTTAAAAAAAAACAAGCAGCTGAAATAGTAGAAAAAGCATAAACTAGCAGAAGAAAGCAGAAAGAACACATATTTGTTGAATGAAGTTCAAGTACGCAAAAAATGAGAAAGTTAGCTTAAAAAAAAGCTGAATTTAGCAAAAAACTGCTGAAAAGTAGCTGAAAAGCAGAAAGAAGCTTACAATACCAGATGGAAGCGAAACGAGATGAAATGAGCTAAAACAATGTGGAATTAGCTGAAAATGCTCAAATTAGAATAAAACAGCTAAATAGTAGCTGAAATAGCAAAAAAGCTGAAACTAGCTGAAAAAAGCTGAAAGGAGCATAACAAGCTGAAATTAGCAGAAAGAAGTTAACTAGGCTGAAAGTAGCAGAAATTACCATGATAAACTTAAATTTATCTGAAAACAGCTAAAATTATCTAAAAAAATGCTAAAGGTAGCTGAACAGGTAGAACAAGTTTAAATTAGCAAGCAGAAATGAGCACAAAAATTTGAAAATTATCTGAAAAAGATTAAATTAGCAAAAAACAGCTGAAAAGAAGCTAAAAAGCAGAAAGAAGCTTAAATGACTAAAATGGAGGAGCACATTTTTACTGAATTAGGCTGAAAAAGTTTAAAATGGTCAAAAAATAGCTAAATTGTAGCTTAAATAGTAGAGAAAGCTGAAACTTGCAGAAACAAGCTGAAAGGAGCATGAAATTAGTTAGAAGAAGCACAAAAATATTGTAGTCGCAGAAAGAATTTGAAGGGAGCACAAAACAGCTGAAATTAGCTGCAAGTAGCTGAAATAAGGTTTAAATGTGCACAAGAAAGCTAAAATAAGCTGAACCAGAGCAAAATGCGAAAGGAGCAGTAAAAGGTTGTAAACAGATCTAAAGATATGAAGAATGTAAAATTAGCTCAATTTATTTTCTATGAGAAAAAAAATTGGCAGAAAAGGCTCATTCCTGCTTGCTCTTGATGAAGGCGGACACTTTTCCCTCCTGCTTTGCTCTTTGTCCTGTGAACCCTATCTCGATGAAGGCGGACGATTTTCCTCCCCGCCCCGAGAACATCTGTGGACATGTGTCAGAGCTAGCCGGCTGATAGACACTGCGCCATCTCTTATCAGGACTATGGAACTATCTGACAGTGTCCTGTCCACGGACAACTCACCGCCTTCATCGACCTGATGTCATCAGTATGTTGCTGTTTCCATGCTGAGGTCTTTTTTTTGCAACTTTCACACTGTGTCCTGTCTAGGTGCGAGATATGATTTTTTGTTTTATACCTCCCCTCCCCTAATGTTTCTCTTTTTCTTATCTAAACGAAAAGGGCAGCGCCTCCCGAGGCCGCGGCCTCACACACCTCCGTCTCCCCATGTATGTTTTCTCGGATGGACTGTACTGAAATGTAATTTTGTTGTGCTTTGATGCAACGACAATAAAGCTGATTCGGAAATATTTCAACAAGCTAAAGTTGCACCAATACCAAAAGTCAAAAGTCATAGCAGGATTGTCCTGAAAGAGCTGAATGTTTTGATATACAATTTATTGAAATAGCACAAAAATTGTGGAATGAGAAAGATGCTGAAAAATGTATGGAATCACAATAGAAGCATTCACACTATTAAGATCTAAAAAGAAAGAGCAGATGGATGATGAATGGATAATTTGCTCACCCTTCCTTGGGGAAGCTCTGTTTGATTTCCACTTGATGATGGCTGAGCAGCTCTGCCGTTTTGGCATTAAACACCTTGGAAACAACAAAAAACAACAACGTGGGTTTAGTTTTACAACACATTATGTATCTTTTTTTAATGATTATTTTATGCATTTATGAAATGGTATTTCCTCCAGTTATTTAACAGTCAACAATGGTGTACCACAAGGCTCCGTCTTAGGACCCGCCCTCTTTACAATCTACATACTGCAGGTAATGTAGGTCAGAGCATCCCTTATGCATCCTTACATTTCTATGCTGATGACACAGTTGTTTATTGTCGAGCTAAAACAGTTGAAAAGGCTTTCCAGCTTTTGAAATCTGCATTTGACATCATCCAGACACATTTGTTCCACCTCAAACTTGTACTAAATGCCAACAAAAGTTTGAGTTTGTCGATTCCTACAGATATTTGGGGATCTTGGTCGATTCGCATCTCTCTTTTAAGCTTCACGTGGAAAACTTGGTAAGGAAACTGAAAGTTAAACTGGGTTTCTTTTTCAGAAATAGATCCTGTTTAACTCTGAACGCTAGGAAACACCTTGTATCTGTGACTTTGCTTCCGTCCATTGACTATGGTGACATTATTTACATGAACTCTCCTACAAGCACCCTGCAGATGCTGGATGCTGCCTATCACGGTGCACTAAGATTCATAAAAGGCTGCAACTACCCACCACTGCACCCTGTATTCACTGGTTAACTGGACATCATTAACTTCACGCAGACTCTCTCACTGGTACATTTTCATCTTTAAATCACTTCTTGGTCTGCTGCCTTCATACATCTCCTCCTACATGTCTCTGCTTGAGTGCAGCTACAGCATGCGCTCTCAGGACATTATTACCTGCAGTGTTCCCTCAGTGAGGACCGAACTAAGCAAAAGGGCCTTCTACTACTCCGCTCCTGTTTCCTGGAATATCTTGCAAAAAAGATCTGAAGCTCTCGATCTTGACCTCTCTAAAGTGGCTTTAAACATAATGGCGGCTGTGGTTGAGTGGTTAGAGCAGTCGTCCTCCAATGCAAGAGTTGGAGGTTTGAACCCACCAGCAGTCACATGCCAAAGTGTCCCTGAGCAAGACACTGAACCCCTCATAGTCTCTGATGTGTGTCCCATCGGTGTATGAATGTGATAAAGCGCTGATTCGTCTCTTTAGAATGATTTGTTCAATTAGCTTTGTAGAGATCTAGTAGAGTGCTGTATGAATGGGTAAATGAGGCATAGATTGTAGTGTAAAGCGCTTTGAATATCTTAATAAGACAGAAAGGTGCTATATAAGTACAGTCCATTTACCATTTATCGTTAAATTCATGGCAAAAACCAATGCAGACATGTTCCTATTTTTAGTTTTCTACACTTCCTTACAACCTAGCTGTGTTTTTGCTATTTTTCCTTTTAATTACCACTTTATTTTCACTTGTTAAAAAAAACCCAATAATAATTTGTACGCATCCTTTATGATTGTCTGTTGTCTTTGTTCACTGTTGTCATCACTCTGTTAAAATCAGGTCTCTCTTGTAAATGAGTCCCCGAGGCTCAGTGGGATTAAAATGTCTAAATAAAGGTTGAATGAATGATTCTAATTAAATGTCTGTATGTTGGTCAGTTTTACAGATATTCAGCTAAAACTTGGTGAGGTTATAGCTGAGACTGATTCTCAACGCATATTTTGAGAGCTAACAGATCTCACATGTATCGCATGAGTTACGGTGTTTACAAATCGGCCCCGTCTCATCATAAGACGGTGTCAGTTTAAAACCGTCTTGACAAGCGATATGCGCTCCTTCAAGGAATGTTGCACCTTTATTTATTTGACTGGCGTGTTTCCACAGTGTGTAACAGCACTTTCAGACACACCTTCAGTCCACATGAAGAAACACTCACTGACTAAAGAAATATGGAGGAAACTTGTGGAGTGAGCAATTACTTTTTTTTTTGTACACCTTTACACCAAACGTGGTCACAGCTATAAATACCTCTGCACGTGCCGTGTTGCATTTTGTCCAATTTAAAGCGAAGTCATTAGGACGACAAAGAAAAATCCAATCAACCAACCAAGTTGTGCATCTGTTGTGTCTGTGTTTGGTGGCGCGCTTCAATAAAAGTCTTGGCTCTAAACAATCCCCACACCCAGAAAATAACCTGCGCATTAAAAAGAGATGATGCTGCCACGTTTCTCTGTAACAAAACTATACAAATCCAAAACACGCTCAGGGTGCATATGGTAAGCAAACAAAACAGCTGTTTTGCAACTCCTGTACAAGTGAGAAAAAAACAGACCTGTTACTAAAGGCCTTCAGGACGTACAGTAGAGGAAAACCTGTTTTTGATCTGCTGCTGATCTTTCTTACACAGTTATGGAGAGTCTATCAGTTTATTTCTATAGCGCCAAGTCACAACAGAAGTCGTCTCAGGGCACTGAACAGAAACATTCGTATGCAAAAATAATAATTTAACATTATTTATCCGAGGAGCAGACTGTTTTGAGTTTAACTTCATCGCAGAACTCTCGTCTTGAGCATGAAGGAAGAATAGATACACAATGGCAGCTTGAGAATCACATGTTAAGATAGAAATAATATCAAATGAAAACACTGAGGTCAATTTGTCCTCCAGTAGTCTAAGCCAGTATAACAAGCCAACCGTAACTATAGGATTTATCAAAAAGGGAAGTCTTAATCCCAGTCTTCAAACTGGACAATGTGTCAGCCTCACGAACAAAAACTGGAAGTTGGTTCCACAAGAGATGATCCTGATAACTGAAAGATCTTCCTCCCATTCTGCTTTTGGAAACTCTAGGAACCATAAATAAACCTGCAGTCTGAGAGTGAAGTGCTCTGTTAGGAAAATATGGAACAATAAGATCTGTAATGTAAGATGGAGCTAGGTTGTTGAGGGCTTTGTAGGTTAGAAGTAAGATTTTGAATTCTATTCTGGATTTGACAGGGAGCCATTGGAGAGAAGCTAAAACTGGAGAGATATGATCTCTCCCACTAACTCCAGTTAAGACTCTGGCAGCAGCATTTTGGATCAACTGAAGACTTTTAAAAGAAGCTTTTGGACACCCAGATAATAAACCATTGCAATAGTCCAGTCTAGACGTGACAAATTCATGAACCAGTTTTTCTGCATCATTTTTAGATAAGATGTTTCTAATTTTAGTGATATTACGCAGGTGGAAGAAGGAGGTTCTAGTAATGTTTTTAATGTGGGGCAGAAAAGAAAGACTTCTTCAGAGTGAAGAAGTCTTTTGGATGAAAGACGAAACGGTTCTACATTTATTTTTTGAATCTGTCCAGAGGAGAAATTGTCCAGAAAAACAGTCCCAAAGAATGATGTTTCCACCTCTGTGCTTAACTGTGGGGGTAATTGAGGAGAAAGAACTTGATTTTGAACCAGACGGACCTTGCGAGTGTTACAAGATTACGCCATAATGTGTAGCTAAGTGTGTTCTTGGTGATCCACTGTTCCTCCCATATTGACGTGGGCTGATCTCTCACCTTCGTCATGATCATCCTCTCTCCATAAAGTAAGATTCTGCATGGAGCTCCAGACCGAGGTCAGCTGATGATCATTTTATATTTTATCCATTTTGGAATAACCGAGCCGCCAGTTCTCACCTTCAGTTGTTGCTGAGATTTGTTGACAGCTCCTGATTGATTGATAAACAATCTGTAGCAGCCAAAACTCTGTCTGACTTGATCAAAGGATCAAATTCTTATTTCGCTCAATGACACACACATAAATTCATAACTATTACGTAATATGTTCATCTGAATTTTTACACGATATTCTGTCTCTATTAAAATAAAACAACCATAAAAAGTAGACACTGACTTTTCATTTCTTTTTAAGATTCAACGTTCAAGATTCTTTATTTGTTATTCCACCACATATGGTACATGTGGTGGAATGAAATTATGTGCACAAGGTCCCAGTTACTTCCAACAAATTATTAAAATGTAAAAGAAAAACAGCAATAAGATCTAAGATATGAACTAAGAAAAACATTAACAAAAAATACGGCAAGCACTAGTAGCATCAAAACAATATGCAGAACAGCAGCACGAATATGAGTCTGTGTGAGCCTATGAGCACGCATGAACACAGCAACATGAAACAGATCAGCAGCAACATGAAACAGATCAGCAGCAACATGATGTGATTTTTTTCACAGTGGAGATTCGAGTCCAACAGCCTCAGGGTAGAAGCTGGTCCTCAGTCTCGTGGTTCTACACTTAATGCTCCTTAACCTCCTTCCTCAAGGGAGTGGGGCAAAAAGTGTGTGCGCTGGGTGAGTGAGGTCCTTCATGATGCAGGCGGCATCATCATTTAAGTGAGCAAACCTACAAAAAATTGCATTTTAACTGGATAATTTAATTTCTCTTATACATACTGTAGATGTATTTAGTATGTAAATGCTTGTATTTATATGAATGATTGAATGAAACATGTTCATTTCCCCGTGTTTAGTCTGCTTCATTATGTTATCAATTAGTTGTGCTTTATAAATAAAACTCCCAAGTATGCATTGCATTTATCCGAAATTACTATTAAACTATCGCTTGCTGTTTACTACTATTGTTTTGAAGTTAACTTAAGAAGTTTTGTTGGAATAAGAAAATGAGTCACTGCATTAATAAATATATTTAGTAAATAAGCATAGTATGTGCCTAATATGTTAAGCTATTATAAGCATTTTAAAGGTTCATAAGCTGCACTGACTGAAGCCTGAGATTTAAAGCCCTTAAGCAGTCTGGCCAAGGGCACCGCCATGATAACCCGGTTATGAGCAGAACATAAATATAACACGCCCAGCTCTGTCTGCGGTTTAACTCACCAAAAACCGAGTGGAGCTAGTCCCCTGGTCGATAGCAGCAACCAGTGGCCCCAGCGTTATCCGGTGATCGGCCATGGTACCGTTCATGGGCAGTCCCACCGGAGGTTCGGCTCGCAATCGGGCACAGAACCGATTATACCCGTATCAACGCGGTTAGTGGTCAGCCAAAGCCCACACTGGTCAGTCGCGATTTTCTGACGTAACGTTTAGCCTCGGCTCTTAGTGATGACGCAACCGCTTGCTTCTCAAACGTTACAAATGTCATGCCAACTTTTAATTCATATCAATAATAAGTGTCTATTAATAAGGTTTGAATTGATTTGGAAACTATATTAAATCGGAAAGAAAATCAGATTCTTTTAAAGGGAAAAGCTTAGTTCCCATACCGGGAGTCGAACCCGGGCCGCCTGGGTGAAAACCAGGAATCCTAACCGCTAGACCATATGGGAAGTTATCAATCAACTCGAATATTCTTTTTTTATCAGAGTTTTCACATCCAGTGATTATGATTTGAAGTTATTGGTGCTGCCAGATTATAATAAAGTAATAATAATGTTTATTTAAAGGTGCACTGAACAGGCCAGAGTTGATCTAGTTCAGTGGTTAAACCTTACAGCACGCTAAACGATAAGATTAAATATGCTGTCTATTGCGACCTAAAATTATTTTGTGTGTTCTTGAACAGAGGGAAGAAACACGAAGTAATACGTCGACTGTAGAATAATCGCAACAGTCTCATTAAAACAATCGAGAACACATTTAGAAACGTGTTAATTAAAATAATTTGTGTTCTTCCCCTCCCTCTAAATTCTATGATTTGAAATTCGGCGACGACCAGTGACGTCATCATCAATGGACAGTGTTGACGTTCTTGAAATGCGGGTTGCCTTCTTATTAGAGAGGTTTTAACCATTTTTGACTTGTTTACGACCCATATTTTACAATGTAAGTATCGAGCAGCATTTTTATATTTTATTCATATGTTGTGTGACACATAAACGGTTAAATGTTTAGTAGTAAGTCACGTTATTTTAATCTGGCTTTATTCGTGTTTTGTGCTTTTAATATTATTTTTGTATTTTATCAGGGCGGACTACTGGAAGTCTCAACCAAGGAAGTTCTGCCAGTACTGTAAGTGCTGGATTGCGGACAACAAGCCTGTGAGTATGACAAAAAAATAAATAAATAAGTAATTTATTCACGTATTTTTTGGTACTATAACGTATGTGTTTGGTTTTGCAGAGCATCGAGTTTCACGAAAGAGGGAAAAATCACAAAGAAAATGTGACAGCTAAAATTTCAGAGGTACAAACTTTAATTTTTTTTTTTTATCCACAACTGTTAAAAAATAAATACTAAATAGGAAACTATATTTTCTCGTTGTTTTCAATATTTTCTTTCATACAGTGCCTACATTTAATGCCTGAAATGTATTCAATTTATTTATGTACTGTGTCAAGTCACAACAAAGTCGTCTCAGAAACATTCATATACATTAAAAAAGCCAATCTGTATAAGGAAGCCAGCAGATTGGGTTGAATCTTCACTTTGTCACAGTCGCCCATCCTGAGCAAGCACAAAGGAGACAGTGGAAAGGAAAAACTCCCTTTTAACAGGAAGTAACCTCCAACAGCGGCCATCTGCTTCAACCAGCTGGGTTTGAGAAGACAGGATGGAGAACCAAACAGAATGGCAGGTCCAGGTGTACTTTCTGTTGGAGGAAAGACACAAAAAACATTAAAATATATAAATAATTACAAATACAAACAGAGTAGAGCAAATAAAGGCAGCAGCAGAGTTAGAAAATGGTGTCAGTTTGTCCTCCAGCAGTCTAAGCCTATAGCAGCATGACTAAGGGATAGCTCAGTAAACCCAAGCCAACCCCAAATATAGGGTTTATCTAAAAGGAAAGATAGCTTTAATTAATTATTTAATTTAATTTAGCTTTAAATGTATGAATTTGCTCAGACTTGAGGCCAGATCAGTTGCTGAATCATCCTAGAAGTTTATTACTGTAATGATAATAAAATGTTATTTAATAGCCAGACGAGTCAATGACCCAAAAATAAGTAAATAGTTTTTTTTTTCATTCTTTAGCTTAAAAAAGATTAACTTACCTGATTGTATGAGACATAACTCAGACTACAAAACATTAAAAAAAATTGGATAAAACAACACGTTTTAAAGTTGGAAATCTTTAGGCACCTCACATTTCAAAAAACGATTTAAAAATAATTATTGATGCTTCATCCCCCACTTTACTCTGTGTGACTACTTGGTAGTTTATAATGCAAGTATTTGTATACTTCCAGTTACTTTATTCCCAGTTATGTATCTTTCTTAGCTGATTTTGCCTGTTAGTTGCGCATCATAGACTTCCAGGCACTTCCACACAGAAATAACGGGAAAACTAAGCCTTACACAAACAGTCTCTGTTCAACAACTAGTCAAACTACATCAGATTTGACAAATTCTTGAAATATGAGTAGCAGAAGACACGTCCAATTTTGAAAATAATATTTTGAGCCAAAAAAATGAATAGTAGAAGTCTATGGGAGCTTGTCTGTGCACTTCATATTCTGGAAGGATTTGGGAGAAAAGCAAAGGTGCAACAGCAGCAAGAGACACACTGGGTGAAAGAAGACAAAACATACCTACGTTTTGATGTTTAAAAAGTTAATCAACCAACAAGGTTGTGGGATTAAGAGGAGTTGGAAAGGTTTGGACATTATCAGGCATAGACCTGTCGTGATAAACAATAAATCAGTTAATCGCACGATAAATGAAAATTATCAACCTCGTTTTCTTTTATCGGCTTTTTCGTTTTTGTCTCTCTCTTTCTACTGAAGACACTGGATGACAAAAGGCTCAACTCCGGTGCTCTTCACTGACCCCTCCCTTTCTCTTTAAAATCTGTTTTAACCGTTCAAAATTGCGTTTTTTGGATCGTTAAAAGCAGCTAAGCTGAGAAGCTAAGCTACGAGCTAAGCTAACAGGCTGACCTCAGGAAAAAAAACCTCCATCTTGTCAAAGCTCCATAATTCACGGTTGAAACCCTTGCCTTCGTGCAAAAAGTTGTTTTTCTCTGCAAAAAGAAGCTGAGAACTTGTTTACTGATTGTTTTATTAAAAGCTTTGTGTGAAAAATGCTATGCTAAAGAGCTCAAACCACACCGAGCGTCCGCCATTTTGAGAACCGAAGAGAGACAGCCCATGTCACGTCAAGGGGCCTCCCTCCCATTTTTCTTAAAGAGACACGCTGCTCGCTCCCTCACTATCAATCCTTCGGGTCAGTCTTATACTGCCATCCGGTGGTTGAAAAAAGGTACTACACTCAAAACAAATTAAACAACATTTCTTCTTAAATTTGACAATAATTACTCATTATTGTCAAATTTCAAACAATATTATTGTTTATCGCAATCATTTCTGAGACAATCACCCAGCAAAATTTGTTATCTTAACAGGCCTAATAAGATTTTAATAACAGTGTCACAGCAGGACACAAGTCGTCACGTGAGCCCACTCACAGACCACAACATGCCTTTTTCTGGCATCATTTTGAGGACTGGCAGGTAGAGATAAGCCCTACCACCACACTGCTGACCCTGAACCTCTCTTCCTATTTGCTCCCAGTCGCTGCCACTCATCTTTATCTTTCTCGCTGCAGATCAAGAAGAAGAGCATTGACAAGGCAAAGCAGGAGGCGCGCATGTCAAAACAATTTGCAGCGATGGAGGAGGCAGCGCTGAAGGCCTACGAGGAGGATCTGAAGAGGATGGAAAGGGAATCAAAAGGTACATTTAAATGAATTCACCAGATTTTTTGCTCTTATTCATATGAAT